ATGTTCTGTTAATATCTTTTGGGTTTATTTGGTCTAGAGTCCAATTTAAGTCTAGTGTTTCCTTGTTGATTTTCTTTCTCAATGATTTGTCTCGGATTGTCAGATGGGCATTGAAGTCCATCACAATTGTGTTATTATCTATGTTCTTCCTTAGGTCTAATAGTATTTGTTTTATGAACATGGGTTTTCTGGTGTAGAGCACATATATATTTAGAATTGGTATTTTTAATCAATCATTTTATCATTATGTAATGACTTTCTTTGTCTTTAACTACTGGTGTTTACTGAAAGTTTGTTTTATATGATATAAGCATAGTTACTCTTGCTTGCTTTTGGTTTCTATTTCCATGAAATATCTTTTTTCACCCTGTTGATCTTGAATCTATGTGTTTTTACCAATTAAAGGAGTTTCTTGTCAGCAGCATATATTTCAAAACTCTTTTTTATTCTTTCTACCAATGTATATATTTTAGGTGAAGAATTTAACTTATTTATATCCAAACTTAATGGTGATATGTGAGGTTTGGATCCTGTTGTCATGTTAATTATTAACTAGTGGTTTTGTAGTCTTAATTGTGTAATAGTTTTATGAGTGAATTTTATAATTTTGTGTTGTTTATGATGGTTAGTATTCACCTATGGCTTCCATATTTAGGACTCCCTTGAGCATTTCTTGTAGTTCTGCTCTAGTGTAAATAAATATTCTTAGCATTTTCTTACCTTAGAAATACTTTATTTCTCCTTAATTTATGAAGCTTGGTTCAGCAGGATACAAAATGAATTACTGACGTAGAATTTTTTTCCTTTATTTTTTCTTTAAGTAGTCTGAAACTGAGAGTTCAATCTTTTCTATCTTTATAAGGTTATGTTGAGAAGTGCATTGTTAGTTTAATAGAATTTCAGATAAATTATTAGACACTTTTTTGTGAATTTTAGAATGTTTTTCTTCCTATTTGCTTTAGATAGACTGAGGACTATAGATCTTGGTTATGTCTGTTTTCCGGTGTCTTTTCATGGAGTTTTCTGCACTTCTTTTATCTGCATGTGAAAATCTCTAGCAAGACTAGGGATATTTTCCTCAATTATTTCATCAATTTGGTCTTCTAAAAATTTTTACTAATTTTCTCCCTCAGGAATATCCACAATCCACTGTTTCAATTGTTTTACATAATCCTATACTTCCCGATGATTTTGTTCATTTTTATCTGACTGAGTTAATTTGAAATATCTGTCTGTTAGGTTTCATATTCTTTCTTCAGTTTAGTATAGTCCATTGTTCAAGTTTTAAACTGTATTTTCTAATTATAATTCAATGAAGTTTTTATTCCCTGAAGATCATTTTTTAAAAATCAAAGTCTTAAGTAAATCTTGAATTGTTCTGATTTTTGGTTTTTGTTTTTTGTTTCTTGACACAGAGTCTTGCAGTGTCCCCTGGACTGGAGTGCAATGATGTGATCTTTGTTCACTGCAACCTCCGCCTCCCGGGTTCATGCAATTCTGCCTCAGCCTCCTGAGTAGCTGGGATTATAGACACACACCACCACACCAAGCCAACGGTTTGTATTTTTAGTAGAGATGGCTTTACACTATGTCGGCCAGACTGGTCTAGAACTTCTGACCTCATGATTCCCCCTCCTTGGCCTCCCAAAGTGCTAAGATTACAGGCATGAGCCACAATGCCTGTCCTGAGTGGTTCTGATTTATTTGTGTTGGTTCTCAACTCTCTTTTGGATTTAATTGAGCTTCTTTAAAAAACATTTTGAATTACTTATCTGAGATTTCAAATATATCATGTTGTTTAGATTCTATTGCTGGAGAGCTAAGGTGATATCTGGGGTCCTATAAGTCTGCTTTTTCGTACTTTCGGAATTGCTTATCTGCTTGCTTTTCATTGTAAACTATCTCTTACTATTTTTGAACTTATTTTGATTTTAATGAAAATTTCATTCCCTTTAGAATGTGAATATCATGCATATTGGGTGGGTCTTCTTATTTGGTTCTTGCTTTACTCAGTGGCAAAGATGCTGTAATTGTTTCCTGTCTATAGATAGTCATTATTTAGTGGCTTTCTGAAATGATGGTTGTAAAACAAGGAACTGGGCCTGTAAGCAGTCTCACTGCCTCCTGCAGGTCGTAGATAGTGGAGGCCTCAGGAACTGTTTCTCATTTGGGATGCATTTGTTTCAGCAGATTTTATATTGGGTTGTTAAGTTTACCCTTCACGTTAGTAGGTGGCCTTACAGGTTTGAGCTGACTGTGGCAGAAGCAGATGAGTACATGCTCGATATCTGTGCACAGGGAGAAGCTCTCCGTTGCCTCAGGCAATGGGTTGGTCTACGAAATGCGCACTGACCTGAGTTCTCTGCTGAGCTCCTGAGAGGGGGACAAACATGAGCCACTCAGCCTGGCAAGCAAAAGCACCAGCCTTGATGGAAATGGCCAGGTGAGGGGCATCTACTCAGTGTGATTTATTTTGTTATTAGTAGTTTTAGTGTTGTGCCTTTTCCAAATTCCAGCTTTAGTAGTAACATACTGAGCATGTGAGCAGGCCCGTGGTCTTTTGCGGAGCTGGAATCACAGAAGTATTGAGAAGCTAATCTCATTTTCAACTGCTATACACTGGTGGTAGCGGCTTTGTATTAGGTCATGCAGTTTGAACACCAGGGCAGTAGGTGGCGTGTGCAGGTAAGAGCCGGCTATGGGGGCAGCAGAAGGATTTAGGCTTTACCAGCGGTTAAAGTGGGAAATTTGTCACGTTCCAGATCTTAGAGAAAAGACTTTTAGTTATTTCTCATTCATTATAATACTACCTGAAAGTCTCTGGAACACAACTTTTTATTATGTCGAGATGTGTTCTTTCTATACCCATTTTAATTTTTTTTTGTTTTTCCTGAGAGGATGTTGAGTTTCATCAAATGCTTTTTCAGCATCAATTGAAAAAATGATAATATGTGTATTAAAGATATAAATGTAAAACCTAAGAGTATAAAAACTCTGGATAATACCCTAGGCAATACAATTTAGTACATAAGAACTGGCAAAGACTTTATTCTGAAAACGATAGAAGCAATTTTAACAAAATCAAAAATTGACAAATGGGACCAAGTAAACTAAAGAGCTTCTGCATAGCAAGATATACTCTCAACAGAGTAAACAGGCAACCTCTAGAATGGGAAGTAAAGTATTTGCCACCTATACATCTGACAAAGTTCTAACATTTATAATATACATGGCATTAAACAAATATACAAGAAAGAAACAGTGGTCAAAGGACATGAAAAGACATTTACAAAAAGACATACATGTGGCCAAATAGCATAGGAAAACATGCTGAATATCACTATCTTTGGAGAAACACGTATTAAAACTACAGTGAGGTACCATCTCACATTAGTCAGAATGGCTAATCTTAAAAAATGTAATAACAGATGCTGCTAAGGTTGCAAGAAAAAGGGAAGATTTATACACTTTTGGTGGTAATATAAATTATTTCAACCATTGTGGAAAGCAGTGTGGTGATCCCTCTAATAACCTAAAACAGAAGTTTCATTTGACCCAACAATCCCACAGCTGGACAGATACCTAAAGGAATGTAAACATTTTAGGTTCACTGCAGCACTATTCACAATAGCATACACATGGAATTACCTAATGCTCATAGTGGCAGAATGGATAGAGAAAAATGTGGTACATAGAACCATGGAATACTGTGCAGCTAAGAAAAAAATGAAATTATGTCCTTTGTAGGAACATGAGGGAACTGGAGGTCATTACTCTTTGCTAACTAATTTAGAAACAGAAAATCAGACACTGTATGTTCTCACTTATTTGTTGAAGATAAGTAATGAGAAATATTCTCTCAGGGCCTGAGCCTTACTCAAGAAATCATTCTATAATAAGTGTTCAACAAGTTGCTAATATGCCTTTAAATATCCTATTTCATATGGACCATTTATATCACTCAATACAGCCACGATAACTCTATGTAAAAGTGAGATTCTATGATAATAAATATCTTAACAGTGAGAATATGAAGGATATGGATGGTTTATTAATTTGATGGGTATATAACTGTGGGATACACTATGTTCCTATGAATAAGACATTCAGATTTCAGAGCTAAGTAATGTTTCCTACGATGTGTATTTGACTTGGCAGTGGTCGATTTGAGAGTGTGGCAGGTGCACAGACCATGTGGATCAGAAATCAACATGTAAAGACGACCATCTATGGATATGAACTAAAAGTATGTAAAGGCTTCAAGTAATTCTATTTAATGGAGTTTGAGATAAAACCCAAACTTATTCAAAACACAAATTACTTAGTATTTATTTTGGATTTATGAGTTTATCAATAAATTCAAATTCCTATTTCCATTTCAACTCCTGCTTCCTACTCTCAGTGGGAGGGAAAACTCAGAGCCAATCACACATCACAGGGCAAATCTGTCAACTAAGAGTCTGTCTACAGAAGGGTCTGGGAGCTCGGGACTCTCAGGCAGGTGCTGGGGACTCTGTCTTGGGAGTGCCCAGCAGATCTCGGAACGCTCCATTGGGCCTGCTGGGCACTCATGTAGGATAACTAGTGGCCACTTATTCAGAGTTACCAGTGAGCTCTGACTGTTCCTAATGGGACCAGGATGGAGTCAAGGTGCCTGCTCAATGTCAGAGACAGCGATGGTCCCAGAAACAATCGAGGTAATCTCTATGCCAATAAAATGTGGATTCACAGTGAGGAGCACATCCTGGGAGTGGGGATTGTTCTTCATTAGGAAGAGTGCTGTCCACAAAAAGCTTAGAAATGGGGCAGGGGGTGCATTTCCTCAAGCTGGATTTGGCTTTGATCCCTCAGCATCCCACTCTTGTGTGGCTGATGTGGCATCTATGTATTTTTCTCATCCTAGATCAGGCTTTGAGCTGTGAAATACCTTGCCTCATGAATATGCAAATAACCTGAGCTCCTCTGAGATACATATAAATCTTTTGGTGCCTTCAGAGCATCACTCAACAACCACATTCCTCCTCTGGAGAAAACCCTGGAACCGCATCTCCTTACCATGGACTGGAGCTGGAGGATCCTCTTCCTTGTGGCAGCAGCTACAGGTAAGCAGCTTCCTGGCCTTAACACTGAGGAAGGAATCCTGGTTCAGTCAAAGAGGATTTTACTCACTCCTGTGTCCTCTTCATAGGTGCCCAGTCTCAGGTCCAGCTGGTGCAATCCGGGGCTGAGGTGAAGAAGCCTGGGGCCTCAGTGAAGCTCTCCTGCAAGGCTTCTGGTTACACCTTTACCAGCTACAATATAAACTGGGTGAGACAGGCCCCTGGACAAGTGCTTGAGTGGATGGGATGGATTAACCCTAGCAATGGTAATACAGGCTACGCACAGAAGTTCCAGGGCAGAGTCACCATGACCAGGGACACGTCCACGAGCACAGCCTACATGGAGCTGAGCAGCCTGAGATCTGAGGACACAGCCGTGTATTACTGTGCAAGATACACAGTGTGACAACCCACATCCTGAGAGTGTCAGAAACCCTGAGGGAGAAGGCAGCTGTGCGGGACTGAGGAGACGGGTATCACTAGTTTTAAGGCTGTTTTGAATATGGGTTACATATTTAAGAAAAAAGAACAACAGAAGCAAGTAACACTCTAATTGTAAGAGATACATTCCATTCAAGAGTCATCATATAAGCCAAATTCACAGAGTGGGAAATCCATGCTCAATAAAGTTGATACAAACATTCCATGAAGGTGCCACTGTGAACAAGTTTTCAAATTAGATGAATACATGGTTTAGTGCAAGGTTATTTGATCAAGTAGTAGGAGTAAGTATGATTATTAAAAACTGGTAAAAATTTCTTTCAAATGTTTCTGTCACTCTTTATAAATTTATATAAAATTATTTTAGGGCAGTTTTAGGATTACAAAGAAATTGCACAGAAGGTGTGAGATTTCCCATGAATCCCTGCCCTACACAGGCACATCCTCCTCCACCACGACCATCCAGGACCACAGGCATAAATCAGCTGCAATGGATGAATCTACAAGGACAGTTGGTTCTTTCGTTTTTGGTGATCCCCTAATATATCAAGCCTAAATTATCTCAGAGCACCACAGGTATTTTCAGTGGCTTTTTAGAGATGATACTAGTCAGAGGGAAAGTGGGTGAAGCTCTTACTATTTGAACCCTTTCTTCAAAAAACCACAAAACATGTATTAATTTAGCACTTATCTTACTTCCGGTTTACAGAGTTCCTTCCAAGAGAGTAAGATTTTTCAGCTTTTAGAGGCAGGTTCCTGTCTGTAAAAGTCCAGCAAGTTCTGGTGAATCGCACAATGAACATCCTTTCATGAGAATTGGAGACCCTGGCAATGAGAGACTCCATGTATAAGGGCATAGAGTTGGATTAAGTACACTGTAGGCTCTTGGGTGGTGGGTCTGAATAAGACGATCTGTGCAGCGAATGCAAACACATGTATGGGACACAGGCGGGAACAAAAGCTTCCATTTACAAAGTGGGTGGGCACCTGAAGGGAGCCCTCACAGAGGTGGGCAGTGGTCGCCCTTGCTGACTGCACATTAGCCAGAGGGATAACCATGATTGGTCTTGCAGGGAAAGAGCATCACTGAGGTCACAGGTTATGAAAATGTTTGTCATCCTCCAGCGGAGCAAGTCCATCTCCTTGCCTGTGGGTGCCAACCCCATGGAGGGTGCACTGTGGGAGACGAAAAGATGCACATAAACCTCCTATCACTAATTATCCACTGCCACACACTCAGAACAAACCTGTGCTCCAGAAATCGATAGGTCCCTGCCGAAGTAAACAGAGCTTAAGGAGTTTATTACCTGGTGAATATACTGCCCAAAACCACACGTTTCAGAAAGATTAGCTCAGAAATGTTTACCAAGTGACTGAAAGGCAGTGGTGGGTGAGGTGACGGGACAGCTTCAGGGCTGCACATGAGAAGGGCTCCCTCCCCATGCAGGCTTTTCCTCCAGGAGCTGCACCAGGAACTCAAGAAGGATCAAGGAGAATTCTGAGAACACCCTGCTGCGGTGCGGCCTAGAGGGGAAGAATAAATATGAAAAAATACAACTCTGAGTAACGTATGGGCATTCGCTCATGAAAACTGTTTTTCTGGAAGCTTGTGAAGGTCTTGAAATACCACGGATTAGCTGAGGACAAACATTTAAACCCTCCTTCACAAGGAGTTCAAGCAGGCTGGATGTGTCCTTCCATAGATGATCTTCCCCAGCCCCTTCCTCTTCCCAGCTCATCCCTGGCTCTCTGTGTAAACAGTTCTCATCAGTGGAATGTGGTTGATAAGTGTGGTCACGTTATTTTAAAAACTCACCTGCACGCATCACGTCACAGCTTAAAATCTCTTGTGGACAAAACAGTAACAAAGGCACCCACCAGGGTTGAGCGTCCTGTGTTGCTGACAGCGACCACCAGGGGTCAATGTTCTCCTCACAATCCTGTGTCAGAGCATCCCCTGAGTGATTTCATTAGCAACTTCCCAGGAGAATCAGCGTAAAACTACTTGTCCTGTTCTCCATAGGACATCTATTTTCCTGAAGAAATAGAGCCGAATAGTGAATACACTGAATGTCTGCTGCTTTTGCAAGTTTGTGACTTTGTCACTTTCTAATTTCTGAGTTATGTAGATCACTCTACATATTTCTCTTACAGGAGTGACCAGCCTTCTGGATGTCAAATATAATTGAGTTTCTTCATGTAAAAGTGAACACAAGCTCCTCACATTTTCTGTGCTCACTGACAAGTCTAAACTCACACAAGGTGTGTCTTTATGAGTTTTGTTTTCTGGTATCTCTACTTGGCTTATTCACCACGCCCATTTGATGTTAGTTGTACAGGTAATTGATTGTTAGTTTTACAATTTACTGGTGCTTACTTTAAATAACTGTGCAGGCAATAGCTTAGAATAGAAAACAATGTAAAGTAAAAGTATACGCAGTAATATTTAATGTAAGAAAGCAGGCAGCTGAAAGCAAGGGAAATGTACTCTGCTGTGTAAAAGAGTATGGAGACCTCATAGTATGATGATCTTCTGCAGTTTAATCCACACTGCTACATAAGTGACAGTGTCCACTCTCTTTATATCAGAGCTTTCCCTAACATGTGCAATGAAGACTGAACCCAGATATCTCCAACTTAGCTTGGAGCTAAGTTGTGACCAGCACCTCTCCCCAAGTGCCTGAACTGATAGTGATATCACATTTGTCTAAAAAAAGTACTCCCTGTAAGGATACTAACCAGTCATACGGAGACAATTTGAAAAAATTAAAGCCCAAACCTGATAAGTAGTAATTTATACTTAGAAGAATTAACTTTTATCTGCACATGGTTTTTTTTTAATGATAGAGAAGCTACTAGCACCACTGTCCAAGTTACTGAATATCTTATTCCTAGAATGAGAGACTGCATAATGTGTTCTGACACAAGGGAATGTAGCTATAGTTAAGGGATAGGAGATGTGATCACTGGAACATGAGTCTGAGATCCAGCAGTTCTTGCTCCTTCACATTTGCCCAGAAGCAAAGACCCCAGTAAAACAACGGAAGGGCTGACTTAAGTCTCCACAATCTGATGTGAGATACACATTAGGTATTTCATGCCATTGTTTTATAGAAGGAAATTTAATCTTTACAGATGGTTCATTCTGGGGATAATACTATTATCCAGGATGCTTAAATGCCCCCAAACAGAGAACACTACAGTGTCCCGTGGCCAGGAGCTACAATACCTGGGTCTAGAAACCAGTGGACAGAAATACCAGTTTTTCTTGCTGCATGTATGATGAAAATTTGAAGAATGTTTCTTTCCTTCTCCATAATCATAGGCTGCAATGGACTGGAGGTCCTGGTACATAAGAAGAAATGTGTCTCCAGTAGGTACAGAATTAGTCCCATAAAATAATTGTGCTACTGTGGTCCTCATACTGTTGGAACAGCTGACCAAGAAAGTGTTGTAAGAGCTGCAGTGTTTATTGATCCATATCATATTTGGGGCTACATTCACAGCTACCGAGTGAAAGAGAGAGAAGTAATTCTGACCTAGGTAGAGTCTATAGATTTGTTTTCTTTCTTTCAAACTGAGGTAAAAAAAAATCACATCAACTAAAATGCAGATGATGATCAAGTGATCAAGGACAACAGCCACTCAGTGTTTCAGGTGTGTTTTAACGCAAAGTCGCTCAACATGTGAGAACATGAACTCTGGAGTCCGGAAAATCTCTGGGGAGAATCTAGAAGGCGGGCGGGAGGCAACAGTGATTCGTGTCTAGGGAAATTGCAGGGCTACCTCCTCTAGGGGAAAGGAAAGCCTGAGCCTCTCCTACAGTGTGCTCTGTTAAAATTTTTGGCTGACTTGCATTCTTCAACAACAATTTTTTTTAGTACTGTTTAAATTTTTTTATGTCTGTTAAAATTCTCGCGGTGTTCTTGCATGCTGCCACTAGCTTATTAACATGATTCTAATATTTAAATTTTCTGCCAGGAAATCCATATGCTTTTATATTCATTGATGCCAGTTTCTGGAGCTTTACATTGTCCCTCTGGACCACGTTACCCCGTTTCTTCATTTTATTTGATTGTCTCTGTTGCCATCTACTCATCAAAACAAACAGCTCTTTGTTCATCATAACAAAGAGCTGCACTCTTCGAAGCCTAAGCCTAGGCTCATAGAGACCACCCTCACCAATCACCCCATCAGTGACTGTGGATCTCTCAAAACTCCATAATGACTTCATAATGTTCAAACATCTGTCTCTGTTCTTACTGGCCCCAGGTTTTAGAGCATGTTGGTTTGTGCCAGGACTCCCAAGTAGTGGAGGTAGAAACTATTTACTCAAGCAACCTCTTGAATAGGTGCACCATTCAACACAGTTTTATTATTCAGCTATGATTCATCAAAATAATGTTAGTTCAAGCTTCTCTCAACCAGTTGTCTAACATTGAAATATTATAATTTATTATTTGGATCTCTCTGGAGTTTATCTTTTGAATCTTAGGCAAAATTACAAACTGGTGTAAAACTGCCTATTTGGCAAATGAGCTGCTGCAGAATTTTCATCTTCTGTGGATCTCTTCTTGCACTTAAATCCAAATATACATTTGTCATGTATCTAGACTGTAGAAATATATCTTAAAGTTCCTTCATTTTTAAAAAGTTTATGGGGTTTCCAGAAGATGTGAGAACCTTCTTTATTTATAAAATATCTGATTCCACATTTTCTAATAGTTTCCTCTTTATCTGTCTCCTCTGACATTATACTACATTTAGCAAGGAGAAATTAAAACACACCATCCACACTTTGCATAGAAATCCCCTCAATCCTCTCAGCTCGCTGTATTGATTGATTGATTGATTGATTGATTGATTGATTGATTTTGACGGAGTTTCACTCTTGTTGCCCAGCCCTTGGCCTCCCAAAGTGCCGGGATAACAGGCATAAGCCACCGCACTGGGAAGCTCGAACTGGATGGAGCCTACCTCAGCTCAGCAAGGCCTACTCTGTCTGTAGACTCCACCTCTGTGGGTGAGTCATAGCCAAACAAAAGGCAGCAGAAACTTCTGC